GGCTTCTGTGAATCCCAGAGACGTTGAGTGAATCAGGCCCAGCGTCTCACTGAGTTGCTTAGGGCCTCGCTTTGGTTGAGGCTGGCTTTGAACTCACGATCCTCCTGCCTCAGCCTCCCAAACCACTGGGATGACAGGCGTGCACCATGGTGCCCAGCCCACTTCTCATTTTTACCTTGAGGACACTAAGTTCTGCAGACCTCAGCTTGCCAACTGCCAGCACACAGTAGGTCTCCAGGTCAGATGCCTGGCTCTGGGAAGATGGCCAACCTGGAGCCTCAGTCTGATCTCCCTGCTGGACTCCAGGATTTGAAGAATTGCCCCCTTAGCGAAGAATTAAACCAGACCCACCTGTCATCTTTCACTCGCAAAGGTGAAGGTAGACATTGATACCGCCCCCTGTGGACAGCGATCTGAAAATGCACCCTAGGGGTATCTTCCACAAGACGATCCAGCTTTCGGAAATTTTTGTGCACAGACTGTCCCCTGTGCAGGAGGGTGATTCAAGTGCAGCCTGGGTTTCCAGAAGCCGGAATTGCAAACCGCCTAAATATCTGTCCGTCAAAGACAGAGAGAGAGTTGCTAAGTCAACTGGGCTCACCCCAATCTATAGGGCTTTAGGGTGCTTTGCAAAGAAGGAGTCAAATCCATATGAAGTATGATGGAAGAAGAGCAGCGTGGAGGACAGTGTGCACATCGTGCTACTATTTGTGGGATGCACCCTGAATAGACCATTATGAGAAGGATCTGGGGAGCAGGCGGTGGGTGGGATTGGGGGGGTGACATGGGAGACTGCTTTTGCCTTTGGCTTTCGGTTCCCAGTGTGTGTTGGATTTATTTTTTCCCCCTCTGTTGCAGAATGCACAAGCAGCTCCAGAAACCAAGACAACAATCACAACAACCAAAGTCGCCTCTCCATCTCCAAGGGAGGCATGAGGGTGTTGGGAGAGCCGCGCAGCCCAGTGGAGGGCCAGATGGGGGGAACATCGCCCCCTGGTGGCCTCTACCTGTCTTTTCTTCTGTCGGAGATCTGAGTGGCTCACTGGAGGGACAGTAGGTAGGTGGCTGGGGAGAAGTCACCGGGGGTCCCCTGCAGCCCAAGGAACCAGAGTGGCGGCGCCCTTAGCCTTGACTCCCTAGGACCTTGCAGATTGAGGACAGACAACCCCTCCCAAGGTCACGGGAGTGCCCTTTGCCTATGCAAATGAGCCCGCCCAGAGCTCAAATCCAGAGATCACTAATTTTTTTTTTGCACCCAGGATCGAACCCAGGGGGTGCTTACCCACTGAGCCCCACCCCCAGCCCTTTTTAGGTTTTATTGAGATACCAGGTCTCACTGAGTTGCTGAGGACCTGGCTAAATGGCTGAGGCTGGCTTTGAACTTGTCATCCTCCTGCAGGAGCGAAGCCAGAGCTCTCCCGCTGAGCTGCCCCCCCCTGCCCCTGCCAAAGCTGAGTATCTAATCATCAGGTTGCATTTATCTTTCCAGTTCGCTCCTTTGTTCTCGGCTAATGAAAAATGTGCTTGCAGTTACTGATCAGATTAATCTGTGTTTTTTTTTTTTTGAAAATGAATAATGGGATGATTTAATGGGGGATATACATGCTATCACTGACTCCCAGCCCCCACCCCAACACACACACACACACACACACACACACACACAACCTCTGGCAGAGATGTGTTGAGTGGGTGGAGGGGTCTTCTGATTTTCCTCTAATTTCTCTTTTTTTTTTTTTTCCTATCTCCAAGTCTCTTTGTTTCTGATTCATAGATATTTTAGACTCTATCAACTGTGAGCTGCAGAAAGGCGTGAAGCAAGCAGCCCATCCAATTTACCTTTTGATTTTTGTTCATGGTAGTTTTGTTGGGTGGTTTTGTTTTCGGTACTGGACATTGAACCCGGGATGCTGAACCACTGAGCCCCATCCCCAGCCCTTTTTAAAAAATATTTTATTTAAAGACAGGGTCTCGCTGAATTGCTTAGGGCCTTGCTAAGTTGTTGAGGCTGGCCTCCATCCTGTGATCCTCCTGTCTCAGCCTCCCGAGTTGCTAAGATGGCGGGCGGGCGCCACCATATCCAGCCTAACAGGGAATCTTGAAGATACTTTGTGTTCAACCCTTAGAGCTTAGCATCTGTTGGGTGCTGAGAAGATGATAAACATTATCCAGGATCAACAGATAAGGATTTGAGGATGGAACCCACACCTAAGTTCCCTGAACACTCAGGAATTGCTGTGCCTGTTTAAGGAACACAAGGCTCAGAGAGGGGAAGGCACTTGTTCAAAGTCACACAGCCAGGAAATAGAGGAACTTGGATTTGAACTCGGATCTGTGTTATTTCAAGCTTTCCCCCGTTCAATTCCACTACAAGGGAAAACAGCTAAGGTGTGAAGAGCCTTTACTGTTCCTTTTTCAAAAATCTCTTTAGTGTTTGGGTGATGTCCTCTCACAAAAGAAACTTTTGAATAGAAATTCTTGCCTGGGTTCGGTCCCCCCAAATTCCCAAGAATCCAGAAATTCTTGCCTGTCATCCCAGCAGCTGGGGAGGCTGAGGCAGGAGGATCGCGAGTTCCAAGCCAGCCTCAGCCAAAGCGAGGCCCTGAGCAACTCAGGGAGACCCTGTCTCTAAATAAAACACAAAATAGGGCTGGGGACGGGAGCTCCGTGGTCGAGTGCCCCTGAGTTCAACCCCTGGCACCCCCCTTTATCCCTCCAAAAAAGGAAAGAAAGAAAGAAATTCTTGGGAAGGAATGGATAACTGAAGTAAGCCAGAATCTGAGGTCCTGATGGGCTGGGGGGGGCGGGGGTGGGTGGGTTGGTGGCAGCAGGTGGACACGTGGCTGCAGGAAGCTGGTGATGGCAGGCAGATCAGACACCTCGTCATCCGGAAGGTCTGCCAGAGATAAGGAGCCCCCCACCCACCCTGGCCGCCACTTGTCTTATTTTGGAAGAAAAATGAGGCCGACTTCCGATTGGCTCAGCCACTTACGTATATTTATCTTGCTGTCAGCCACGGAGGCTCCGGCCCCAGGTTCTGGGCTAATTAAAACTTGTCCTGGAAATAGGTGGAGGCCACACCCTGAGAACTGATGAAGCGGGTGTGACGAGAATATGTGAGTCACCCTGGGTCAGGTGGCAGGGTGGCAGCATCCAGAGGAGAGGAGCCCAGGGGTGTGGGGGCTTGGTGGGGGGGACATTGGTGTGGCAGTCACAACAGCAAGAGGAACAGATGTTTGAAAGTCCCTGTTGTGTGGCTGGACTTCTCAGCTTTCTGTTCTTGGCAATCCTCAGGGATGCATGAGGCCGGGCGGCTTCCCCTGGGCTGGGGCCATGAGAGAGTCGTGGGTTCGAATCCTGGCTGCGATTTCAAGGGGGAAAAACAAGACGTCAAGGTCGTGAAGGGGTTGGAAGAGGCACGCTGGGGACTGAGAAGGGTGAGAGAGAGAATTCGGTGACATGAACGCGGAGGTCAATA